ACAAGACTATTCTCTGCTTTATCCCATTACCTGACCTCCCGTTGCTGAACCCGGCCCGTGACCTGAGTATTCTTGTCTACCGTCTTGTACTGTTTGCTCCGTTGTTATCAACCCGGCCTGTCCGACCACGCTCTACGTTTTCCATCTGGCTCCCACCAGCTGTACGCCATTGGCGGCAGTCGTTACCGCAGCTGGGGTAACCCGGGGACCGCGACCTGGTCTCAGGCTGCATCAAGTCCATCCCCACCATCAGGGGCCCTGGTGAAAGGCAGCCTGGTGCTTAGACTCCGCGCCCTGCGCGCCCCTAGCATTGGGCCTGCCTGCCCATTCCACCGCTCCTGCCCTGACACACGTCCACTCCTACTAAAAGGGTTCCTTCTGGTACTGGTATATTTCTAATTTTTGATAATACATCTCTAGTGTCCTGAATATAAGAAGGTAATTTCATTACCATATCTTTATTAAGTCTTCTACATACTTACCACTTTTTTCCACGGTCCATTTACTGCTGACACTATGGGGTTTATTTACTAAAGCTGGAGAGTGCAAAATCAGACTCACTTCTGCATAGAAACCAATCAGCTTCCAGGTTTCATTGCCAAAGCTTCATTGAACAAGCTGAGGTTAGAAGCTGATTGGTTTCTATGCAGAAGGGAGTCTGATTTTGGACTCTCCAGCTTTAGTAAATAAACCCCTATGGGTCTGCCTGGTGGTTTCAAAGGATTTTTATAATGTTATAATAAGAAGGAAGATTATATATTTCTGTTGTCAAAAGATCAAATTCTGATTTCGTTAATAAAGTTTCCTCATAAGCATAAAAGATTTTATCATTCAAAATCTCAATTATTCTTTCAAAGGGATTTCCTGACAATTTCATATAGGTATTGGTGTCGTTAAGTTGTCTTTTGACCTCATCTTCATAATCCTTACTATTTAATAGCACCACATTACCTCCTTTATCACTTCTTTTAATTACTATATTCGTGGCATTTTTTAGCTCAAATAAGGCCTTTTGTTCTTCCTTAGTTAGATTATCAGGGACGTTTTTATTCCATTTTATTTTCTTAAGGTCAGTATGTACTAGTTCCAAAAAGAGACTAGTCCATTTATTATCATTAATATTGGGCATTTTGTGAGATTTTATCCATAATCTGGATTTCCCTTTCCACTTATCAGTCTCAATACCAAAGGAATCATTTTCATTTGTCATTCTCTTCTAGTAGATCAATGAGGGTCTGAAGATTTTGTTCATCTTGTTCTTGATTATCATTTTTTTGTGGTTCAGGCAGGGTCGGACTGACAACTCATGGGGCCCCCAGGCCATAGGGGATGATGGGGCCCCTGTGTCCTTGCCCAAACTCAAAAAAGCCTATGAAAATGGTACCAGGGGCATCTCATGGGGCCCCCTACTGACCCCGGGCCCTCGGGCAGTGCCCGAGTTTCCAAACGGTCAGTCCACCCCTGGGTTCAGGTAAATCATGAGTCATTCGTAATAAAACATTTCTTAAAAATAGATTTATATCTTTATAGACCTCAAATTCATTCATTGTTTCTGCTGAAGAGAAAGACAGACCTTTTTCCAATAGTTTTTTTATGGTTAGGATTGAGTTGAAATTCAGATAAATTGATCACTTTTAGATCCTTGGTTTCCTCAATATTAAAGTTGTCAGGACTCAGTGAGTCTTCTGACTTCAGGTCCGACCTGTTGTGTTGGTTTTTATTATAGTTGGTTTTCCTCCATTCTCTTTGTTTCTTGGAGTTCCTTGAATATTTTGTTCTTGTCTTATCCCTTGTTCTGGGTTCCCATTGGATATGTCTAAAAAATTAACAGATCTTTTGTTATTATGAATATTGTCCTCCTCACTATCAGATGATTGTGGGCCCTTTTTATTAGGAGTATAACGTCTATTTCTAGATCTGCTTCTTCCTCTATTATTGGTAAGATCAAAAATTTCCCCCTTACTCCAATCTTCCAAGTCCCTTTTGAATTTTTGTTGTTTTTGTGGAATGTAGATTTTTTTGTACCTTTTCAATTTATTTTTTTAAAAGATCATTGCGTTTATTGAATTCTGTTCCAATCACCTCCATGGCCACAGGTGTATAAAATCATCACCTAGGCATGCAGACTGCTTCTACAAACACTGGTGAAAGAATGGGTCGCTCTCAGGCAGGAGCTCAGTGACTCCAAGCGTGGTCCCGTGATAGGTGGTCACCTGTGCAATAAGTCCATCCGTGACATTTCCTGGCTACTAAATATTCCACGCTCAACTGTTAGTGGGATTATACCAAAGTGGAAGCAACTGGGAACAACAGCAACTCATAAGTAAAATTATAGAGCGGGGTCAGAGCATGCTGAAGCGCACAGTGCACAGAAGTCACAAACTGTCTGCAGAGTCAATAGCTAAAGACCTCCAAACTTCATGTAGCCTTCAGCCAGAAGAAAGAACTTCATGGAATGGGTTTCCATGGCCGAGCAGCGGTATCCAAGCCTTACATCATCAAGTGCAATACAAAGCGTCGGATGCAGTGGTGTAAAGCACGCCGCCACTGGACTTTAGAGCAGTGGAGACGTGTTCTCTGGAGTGACCAATCATGCTTCTCTGTCTGGCAATCCGATGGACGTGTCTGGGTTTGGCGGTGGCCAGGAGAACGGTACTTGCCTGACTGCATTGTGCCAAGTGTAAAGTTTGGTGGAGGGGGGATTATAGCGTGGGGTTGTTTTTCAGGGGTTAGGCTTGGCCCCCTAGTTCCAGTGAAGGGAACTCTTAAGGCGTCAGCATACCAAGACATTTTGGACAATTTCATGCTCCAAACTTTGTGGGAAGAGTTTGGGGATGGCCCCTTCCTGTTCCAACATGACTGCGCATGAGTGCACAAAGCAAGGTCCATAAAGACATGGAGGAGCCAGTTTGGGGTGGAGGAACTTGACTGTCCTGCACAGAGTCCTGACCTCAACCCCATAGAACACCTTTGGGATGAATTACAGTGGAGACTGTGAGCCAGGCCTCCTCCCCCGACATCAGTGCCTGACCTGACAAATGTACTTCTGGAAGAATGGTCAAACCTTCCCATAGACACCCTCCTAAACCTTGTGGACGGCCTTCCCAGAAGAGTTGAAGCTGTTATAGCTGCAAAGGGCGGGGCCAACTCAATATTGAACCCTGCGGACTAAGACTGGGGGGCAACTAAAGTTCATGTGTGTGTAAAGGCAGGCGGCCCAATACTTTTGACAATATACTGTGTCTATATATATATATATATATATATATATATATATATATATATATATATACTGTATATCTTAGAAACTAACCACACAAATAAAAAATGAATAGATTAAATAAAAGACCCTAACGGAAAAAAATAAAAACAGCAAAGCTGTGGAACATAGGATAGCAAGCACAAACACTTGCTGCTAATAAAAAAAGTGTCCTAGAAAGGGCAGTTAGGTCTGTGGCACAGAGGGGGACACAAGGGTATGTTGCTCACTACACTGCACAGTACAGCACTGTGTAGTACAGTATAGCCCGGTATAGCACTGTGTAGTACAATATAGTACTGTGTAGTACAATAGAGCACAGTACAGCACTGTTTAGTTCAGTATAGCTCGGTACAGCACTGTGTAGTACAATATAGCCTGGTATAGCACTGTGTAGTACAATAGAGCACAGTATAGCACTGTGTAGTACAATATAGCCCGGTATAGCACTGTGTAGTACAGTATAGAACAGTATAGCACTGTGTAGTACAATATAGCCTGGTATAGCACTATGTCGTACAGTATAGAACAGTATAGCACTGTGTAGTCAATATAGCCCGGTATAGCACAGTGTAGTACAATATAGCCCTGTGTATACAATAGCACTGTACAGCACTGTAGTACAGTATAGCCCGGTATAGCACTGTGTAGTACAGTATAGCCCGGTATAGCACTGTGTAGTACAATAGAGCACAGTATAGCACTGTGTAGTACAGTATAGCCCGGTATAGCACTGTGTAGTACAGTATAGACAGTATAGCACTGTGTAGTACAATAGAGCACAGTATAGCACTGTGTAGTACAGTATAGCCCGGTATAGCACTGTGTAGTACAGTATAGCCCGGTATAGCACTGTGTAGTACAGTATAGACCGGTATAGCACTGTGTAGTACAATATAGCACCGGTATAGCACTGTGTAGTACAGTATATAGCCCGGTATAGCACTGTGTAGTACAGTATAGCCCGGTATAGCACTGTGTAGTACAGTATAGCCCAGTATAGCACTGTGTAGTACAGTATAGCCTGGTATAGCACTGTGTCGTACAGTATCGAACAGTATAGCACTGTGTAGTACAATTTAGCACAGTATAGCACTGTTTAGTCATTGCCGGTGCTAGACTAGTTTGCACCCTAGGCAAGACCAGTTACTTGCACCCCCCCCCCCCCCCCCCGAGAAACATTTTAAAAACAGTAGAAAATATCAAATCAACAAAACATGAAATGGCAAAATTTCTTTTAATTTGCAAAAAAAAGTGCCATAAGATGCCTCCAGTAGCAATATTAAAGACACAATCAGTGTCACGGACGGACTGTATCTGTGGCTGGCAGTGGCAGGGTGACAGTTGTAGTGAGTGGAGGATGATGGATGCACTCTGACAGATCCCAGCCTGGAATTCCCTCTGTGTGGTATGAATTTTAAAAGCGGGTTTGCTTTATAGCTTTCTATCAGTAAAAGATTTCTAAAGAGCTTTTTATAGACACAGGAACATGAATAGGACCCCATACTAGTATATACAGAAAGGCTGCAGCTTGATCCTTTGAGTGGAACCATGCCTGGAGCTGATGTTCTGGTTTCATTGTGAGAAATGTGTCCTAGCTGTTCCCTAGAGTAGAAAATCGTAATAGAATTATGGAATTTGCCAGCAGAAAATCAGAACAATTACGGAGAAAAATTTGATTGGCCGCAGTTTTATTTATTTTATTTTCATTAAATTACTTTTTTTAACTCTTTCCATTAAGATTCCCAGGGTCAGAAAAATTGTACAGGAAATGAATGCGGACAGCTGCAGAGTGACATCCAGCCAATCAGGGAGGTCAGTATGACATCGGGAAAGGGGATGTGTGTGTGTCTATTTGCTGCAGGCATTAGAGACATGTTTTCACCCCTCCACTTGGAAAAATGCCTTAGATTTTGGTCCGTTAAATACACAATTGTTACATCTGTTCAGTAAGTGCAAAAAAAACAGAAAAAAAATGTATACATATATATACAGGTGAAACTCAAAAAATTAGAATATCGTGCAAAAGTTCATTTATTTCAGTAATGCAACTTAAAAGGTGAAACTAATATATGAGATAGACTCATTACATGCAAAGCAAGATAGTTCAAGCCGTGATTTGTCATCATTGTGATGATTATGGCTTACAGCTCATGAAAACCCCAAATCCACAATCTCAGAAAATGAGAATATTGTGAAAAGGTGCAATATTCTCGGCTCAAAGTGTCCCACTCTAATCAGCTCATTCAGCCATAACACCTGCAAAGGGTTCCTGAGCCTTTAAATGGTCTCTCAGTCTGGTTCAGTAGGAATCACAATCATGGGAAAGACTGCTGACCTGACAGTTGTGCAGAAAACCATCATTGACACCCTCCATAAGGAGGGAAAGCCTCAAAAGGTAATTGCAAAAGAAGTTGGATGTTCCCAAAGTGCTGTATCAAAGCACATTAATAGAAAGTTATGTGGAAGGGAAAAGTGTGGAAGAAAAAGGTGCACAAGCAGCAGGGATGACTGCAGCCTGGAGAGGATTGTCAGGAAAAGGCCATTCAAAAGTGTTGGGGACTTTCACAAGGAGTGGACTGAGGCTGGAGTCAGTGCATCAAGAGCCACCACACACAGACGGATCCTGGACATGGGCTTCAAATGTCGTATTCCTCTTGTCAAGCCGCTCCTGAACAACAAACAACGTCAGAAGCGTCTTACCTGGGCTAAAGAAAAACAGACCTGGTCTGTTGCTCAGTGGTCCAAAGTCCTCTTTTCTGATGAGAGCAACTTTTGCATCTCATTTGGAAACCAAGGACCCCAAGTATGGAGGAAGAATGGAGAGGCACAAGGATCCCGAGTATGGAGGAAGAATGGAGAGGCACAAGGACCCTGAGTATGGAGGAAGAATGGAGAGGTCCAAGGACCCCGAGTATGGAGGAAGAATGGAGAGGCCCAAGGACCCCGAGTATGGAGGAAGAATGGAGAGGCCCAAGCACCCGGAGTATGGAGGAAGAATGGAGAGGTCCAAGGACCCCGAGTATGGAGGAAGAATGGAGAGGCCCAAGGACCCCGAGTATGGAGGAAGAATGGAGAGGCACAAGGACCCCGAGTATGGAGGAAGAATGGAGAGGCCCAAGGACCCCGAGTATAGAGGAAGAATGGAGAGGCACACACTGCAAGATGCTTGAAGTCCAGTGTGAAGTTTCCACAGTCTGTGTTGATTTGGGGAGCCATGTCATCTGCTGGTGTTGGTCCTCTGTGCTTCATTAAGTCCAGGGTCAACGCAGCCGTCTACCAGGAGATTTTGGAGCACTTCATGCTTCCTTCCGCAGATGAGCTTTATGGGGATGCTGACTTCATTTTCCAGCAGGACTTGGCACCGCCCACACTGCCAAAAGCACCAAAACCTGGTTCAATGACTGCGGGATTACTGTGCTTGATTGGCCAGCAAACTCGCCTGACCTGAACCCCATAGAGAATCTATGGGGCATTGCCAAGAGAAAGATGAGAGACATGAGACCAAACAATGCAGAAGAGCTGAAGGCCGCTATTGAAGCATCCTGGTCTTCCATAACACCTCAGCAGTGCCACAGGCTGATAGCTTCCATGCCACGCCGCATTGAGGCAGTAATTGCTGCAAAAGGGGCCCAAACCAAGTACTGAGTACATATGCAGCTTCTACTTTTTCATAGGCCCGATATTGTTCTATGTACAATCCTTGTTTTATTGATTGCATGGAATATTCTCATTTTCTGAGATTGTGGATTTGGGGTTTTCATGAGCTGTAAGCCATAATCATCACAATGATGACAAATCACGGCTTGAACTATCTTGCTTTGCATGTAATGAGTCTATCTCATATATTAGTTTCACCTTTTAAGTTACATTACTGAAATAAATGAACTTTTGCATGATATTCTGATTTTTTGAGTTTCATCTGTATATAGATATATATGTATTTATTGAAATATATTGAATATGGCCAAAATTGTAGTATTTCAAATATATGTCAATATATTTGGGAAGAATATTTTTAAAATATATTTTTCTTCCATGTGGGAAGCTCCATGGTTTAACCCCCTCAATACCAGCATAGTATATGATTCAGTGTGATCCAGTGTTGCATGGTAGAGTAATGGTCAGTCAAACTATCACTGCACTGAAAATGTAAAGATGGAGGGGTATTACAGGCTGGTAATCTAGTGTTTAAATGGATAAAACATAGAGAAATGTGCATGTGTTGCAGAAATATATATATTTTTTTGTCTCAACATATTCTTCAATCCATCTCTGCCTTTGGACTTTTAATGGAGATTGATATACACATGGGGTGATCCTACAGACTTGGGGTGCTATCCACCTCTCCATAGAGCAGCCCACTACTCATACTCATCAATGTCCTCTCCATTGCAATCCAGATCTTACTCCGGCCAGTTGGACATTTTGTAATTGTGTAAAATACTTACAATTTCTTTTAACAGGTTTCAGGGGCACTGCTAGTTTCAGGAGTTCTGCAAGTTCTTACAGGAATCTCTGGGCTCTGGGGATGGATTCTGCAGTTTTGTGGTCCAATGGTCATTGCCCCGGCGTTGTCCATCATTGGCCTCTCCTGCTACAAGCCAGCAGCCCAGCTCTGTTCCTTCAACTGGAGCATCTCCATGAGGTAAGCCTAATCCAGTCCTATGATGGTGTATCCAGTCGTTTCTACTGTTTTTATATTTTTACGGAAAAAACTTCTCCTCTGGGATTTTAAATGCAGCCGCACAATCTCTGTCATAAAAAAAACCCCCACAAATTTTATTTATCCAAAACATAAAAGCATGTACATGTCCATTCCATTCAAGTTTAAAGGGAATTTCACAGTTCAATAAGAAACCCCTGAAAGTTGTGGCAAAAGAGCACTGCACTGCTAATAATTCCCCAACGCGTTTCAATTTGACGAACAATCTTCATCAGGGGGTTACAGGTGTAGTTGTTAACCCCCCTGGCGGTATTCCCGAGTGTAGCTCGGGGTAAAGTTTCAGTACCAGAAGCGGTAACCCCCCCCCCGAGCTACACTCGGGAATACACTGAGGCGCTGCTCCGGGATCCCTCAATCACTTACCTTGTCCTGCGCTCCCGCAATGTCCCTCCTGCAGTGTCCCCGGCAATGTAATCCAGCGGATGCCGGCATTTTTCTTCCGGGTTCCATCCCCTGTGAGCGTCGGAACATACGGGGGACGGAATGGCGGGAAATTTGAAAATGACAAAAAGTGACATTCACTAAAATCACTAAAATCACATAGTATAATATTCCTGTATCAAACCATTTCACATACATTTTGTCCCGAGTGCTTTGTCCTGCGCCCTCCCTGCATTTTTACTGTTCTTTCTGCCCGGAAACTGAGAAACGTCCATGGCGTCCAAAAAGCGTCCCTTTAGGTCAAAAGCGGTTTTAGACCGGCTAGAGAACAGCGATAGTAAATCAGAACCACTTGCAGAATTGAGTGATAATGATTCGTGGGGGGAATTCATCATCAGACACTGAAAACGATTCTGCGACTTTGCTCAGCGATGTGCGAACTTGGCGCTCTATTTCACATTTCAGTGTTTTTGGTTTGATTATATTATTGAATTAAGTTTATTATTATATTATTATTTTTTATGATTGTTTATTAAATTATAATTTATGATTTCGTGTTTCAAGTTTTATCATCCCCGGGATGTTTACTAGACTCTTGTAGGACAGATTTCAGTGAGTTATTCCTAAAAATTACAGGACCACAATATAAAACGCCAAATTTCCATGCAAAATAATGGTACCCGCTTTCAGCACCAAGAATCTGAAATAATCATACTGCCAGGGAGGTTAAGTGGATAGATTCTGTCTCTAGAGGTTGATGCTCCACCAGGGCCGCCGTAAAGTACCCACCGGACCAGCCCAGCATGTTCGCCTCCACAGTGCGAGCCAAGAAATGGAAATACTTAAACTTCCAGATGGAGAGAGAGGACCTGTGTAGGATTAAATGTAAGGCCAATAAAATGAAGCATAATAATAATAACAGAGTGCAGCGCTAAGAGATAAGTGCAAAAAGCAAATAGTCCATAGTTGTTAACTGGATATAAATATATAGTCCCAAGAAATAACTGATGAAGACCAGGAAGCAATGGAAAGAGTGCGCACTCACCGGACGCGCATGGAAAATGCACATAAATGGATGTCTCCTGGAATCCTAAAGTAGATGGAAAGGGTGAATTCCAATCTTTGGATCAATCAGCCTGGGAAGATGTATCAGAGATCCGGAGGTCCCCTTAAGGTTGGTATGATTATCAGCCAGACTCCAAGAACTCCGTCCCTCTGGTGGTAATAGATGAGCACTACAGGGATCCTGCAAATGGATTTAGCTCCCTGATCATGAATGTCCTTGTTCAGTCACTCCTGTTATAAGGTGACAGCGCTCTGTCCTTGTCCCCCAGTTGTGCTCCTGCATTGTCATACAAGCTTCTGATGGGGACTTTCAACGCATATTACACAGGCACGGTCCGCTGTTGTCACCATAGGGGAACCTGCTGTCATGCAGCCACTGCTGGAGTACAGGAATTCCTATAGATAAGAATTGGCTGTAAACAGGCTGCACTGTGCAGTGGTTTTTGCACAGAACACCCCTGATCCCCCGCTGGTGCTCTTGGCTCTACCCCCCTGCTGAGTGCTCTCATAGCAAGCTGCTTCCTATGGGGACACAATATTATTATTCCGCTTTTTATGGGTACACTGTGATTACCTTTAGCTGCTTGGTTAAGAGCGCTCACTTTATACCATTCTTATCCAATAAAATGAAGCATAAATCAGCCACTTGCACAGCACAGCTCTCCAAGCTGGACCAACCACAGACCACAGATGGTTCTTTTTTCTGGCTTTACGTTTACATCCTACACAGGTCCTCTCTCTCCATCTGGAATTTTAAGTATTTCCACTTTTTGGCTTAGACTGTGGAGTCGAACGTGCTGGCGCCCCTGATGGTCAAATACTGTGACCCCTTGTGGGCTTGACTGTGGGGACACTTGGTCCGGTGGGCGCTCTGTGGTGGGCTTGGGGGAGCATCACCATCTAGACAAAGAATCAATCCACTGAACATAGTTACATAGTTAGTCTGGCTGAAAAAAGACAAAGGTCCATCATCCAGTTCAATCATTAAAAAAAAAAAAAAATTATAATCCTACACCCTTAGTGATCCAGAGGAAGGCAAAAAACCCAGCAAAGCATGATCCAATTTGCTCCTGCAGTGAAAAAAATTCCTTCCTGATCCCCCAAGAATAACTACCCGTGTTACCCCCTGATGAAGATTGTTAGTGCAATTGAAATGCATTGAAGAATTATTGGCGGCATGAAGTGTGCAGTGCTCTTCTGACACAACTTTCAGGGGTTTCTTATTGAACTGTGATGTTCCCTTTTAACTAGAATGGAATGTACATGTACGTGCTTTGGATAAATAAATGTGCTTTATGATAGAGAATGTGTGGCTGCATTTAAAGTCCCAGGGGAGAAATTATCCTGTGAATACAGGTGTACCTTGGTTTACGAATTTAATGCGTTCTCTGGGACGTTTCGTATTGTGAAAAATTTGTAAACCGAAAATTGTTTTCCCATAGGAATGCATTGAAATCCAATTAATCCGCTCCGGAGGTCAGAAAAAAGTAAAAAAAAAGTCTTATCAGTTTGAAACGCTTTATAAAGTGCACTTTAAAGGCATAAATACTGTACAGGGACATGATTAACAATTAATTAACAAATACACTGAAAACCAATTAATCCTTTCCGGAGGTCAGAAAAAAGTAAAAAAAAAGTCTTTTATCTGTTCAAAACTCTTTATAAAGTGCACTTACAAGGCATAAATACTGTACAGGGACATCACTAAAAATTAATTTGTAAATGCATTGAAAACCAATTAATCTGTTCCGGAGGTCAGAAAAAAAGTTAAAAAAAAGCCTTTTATCCGTTCAAAATTCTTTATAAAGTGCACTTTGAAGGCATAAATACTGTACAGGGACATGGTTAACAAAATGCATTGTGAAAACCAATTAATCCGTTCCGGAGGTCAGAAAAAAAGTAAAAAAAGTCTTATCTGTTCAAAACTCTTTTTGAAGTGCACTTTAAAGCAGGGGCGAACTGACCATTTGGAAACTCGGGCACTGCCCAAGGGCCCGGGGTCAGTAGGGGGCCCCATGATATGCCCCTGGTACCTTTTTTTATAGGCCTTTTTGAGTTTGGGCAAGGACACAGGGGCCCCATGATCCCCTATTGCCCGGGGGCCCCATGAGTTGTCAGTCCGCCCCTGCTTTAAAGGCATAAATACTGTACAGGAACATGATTAAAAATTGATTCGTAAATGCAATGAAAACCAATTAATCCATTCCTGAGGTCAGAAAAAAGTAAAAAAAGTCAAAAAAAGTCTTATCTGTTTGAAAATCTTTATAAAGTACACTTTCAAGGCATAAATACTGCACAGGGACATGATTAAAAAAAATGCATTGGGAAAACCAATTAATCCGTTCCGGAGGTCAGAAAAAAGTAAAAAAAAGTCTTATCTGTTCAAAACTCTTAATGAAGCGCACTTTAAAGGTACGGGGCCGGCGCTATAAAACTCCCAGGCACAATGCATTCTGGGGAAACTTACTTTATATTGTGAAAAAAATTCATAAACCGAGGCATTATTTTTAATGGATTTTCATTCGTAAACCAAAAATTACGCTAACCAAGGCGTTTGTAAACCGAGGTACACCTGTATATACAAACAGGGACACTGCAGCCTATTGCACCACAGAAGGACCCAACCACACCCCCTTACTTAAGCATTTCTAATGGGTTTGCTAAATGTAGATATTTGTTGTTGAAATTAACTTTAGATCTATAGGCAATTTTTTTTTTTTTTTATTTTGGATAGAGTAGAACCCTTATCAGTTTTTTTTGCCCTCTGTGTTCTTTTTGAGAAGATTTACCTTCACTTCTTGTCCCATAGCAAAAACATGAAGTTAGAAGTCCCTGTAAATTGAGGGAATCCCATGTATGTCCCCCCCTCCCCAGGTCGCCATCCCCAATAGAAGATTTCTCCTCTATTACTTTTCTGGGGACAACCTAAAATTTTGGATTTTCTTTTACTTACACTTTCAATAATAACAATAAACAGGACAAATAGAGAGGATGAATCTTAAAGGGGGCACAGGCTGCAACACAAAACCTGACAGGGGTTCTAGTCCCTCTCAATTCTATCCAAATCTAACAAAAAAAAAAACGTCAAAAAAAAAAAGTTTTGTCTTTATTTACACTTGAAAACATCAACATATTCCCCCGCTATCAACTGTGCGCTGTAAGCGCTGCCAGAAAGTAAAGAAATAAAAAATGGAGTAAATGGCATATCTGAGTTTTTGGACAAAGCTTTGAAAGTACAAACCTTGCCTGCAGTGCCATCTTGGGATTATATTTGGTATTACAGTATATATGTTTTAGCTGCATATCAATGGCAATGGACTGGTGGGAACCCTTCATATTACTAAGTACAAGGAGAAGCCAAAGTCAAACCATGTCTCTTATATTGAAAGAAACGTTTTCTTTTTTTTCCTTTTTTTTTTTAAATTTTATTAATATTTTCATTTAAAAAAATTACAATGGACAGCGTATCAAAACATCCAAGAACTCAGAAACAAAAGGAGGTACACATTTCTTGTAGCAAAGCATTAGTTGTCATACATATTGCAACTGTGTGATACAAATAGGATTTTGTAATAAACGTCTCAAATGGTAAAAACAATGATTCTGGCAAGAAGTCGTGTTTTTTTAAAAGGGAAACTTTAATAGTTTTGGGTTTGTGATATTTGACTTTTTTTTTTTTAAATGATCCTTTTTTAAGCTGTTGTAGATCTATTTTTGTTCTTTTAATATACACTATTTGTTTTAGAAATGTAGTACATGCTGCACCCAGGATGCAAGATGCACAGAGAATTACAGGTTTTCTAAAGCTGTCTAAAACCTTTCTTAGCCAGGAGAAGGTGGAAAGAGGGTTACTCCTTTGGATCAATTAGATCTTCATAAATACCAGGCATGTTAAAGATCCCTAAGCTCCATCAGTTAGCTGTAGGGGTAGGTTCACACTGTGCGGGGTGGCGCACAAAAAAGGTGCTTGCATGGTGGGCCGCAGGGAAAATGCATGGTGATTATGACCATGCGATTTTCCTGCAGTGCCCACACCTGTAAACGCTTTGAGAAGGTTGAGAAGCTTGGAGGTGCTATTAAGAATGAATGGCAGCCTCTCGCGTCTCCCAAGAGCATTGCGATTTGGCTGCGGGTGGTCGCGGGTGCAGGAACAGCTTGATTCTCCCACCTGCAACCACCCACAGCCAAATCGTGCTGCTCTTAACTAGTTGCCGACCACAGATAGCTGAATGACGGCTACACGGCAGCCGGCCAGTTCTGGGAGGGCATCATATGACGTCATCCCAGAACGTGCTCTCCTGCACGAGACCGGGGACGCGCACCTGGCGATCTCGGTGATCGCTGTGTCCTACAGACACAGCTGATCACGTGATGTGGTAAAAGGCCAATCATAGCGGCCTTTTACCACGTGATCAGCCGTGTCCAATGACATGCTGATCACAGGGAAATGCAATTATCGGGTCTCGGCTGCACTTTCCTCACGCTGTCAGAGAGTGAGGAAAGTACTGCAGAGAACCGGCAGTTGTCAGAGCGGGGATCGGCACCGATCATCAGGGCACTGATCATCAGTGCCCGGATGATCGGTGCCCAGCAGTGCCACCCACCAGTTCCGCCCACCTGTGTCCAGCAGTGCTGCCTACCTATGCCACCCACCAGTGTCCATCAGTGCCACCCACCTGTGTCCAGCAGTGCTGCCTACCTGTGCCCAACAGTGCCACCCACCTGTGCCCAACAGTGCCACCCACCTATGCCACCCACCTGTGCCCAGCAGTGCCACCCACCAGTGCCAATCAGTGCAGCCCAGCAGTGCCGCCAGTCAGTGCCACCAGTCAGCGCCCAGCAGTTGTGCCACTCAGTGCCCAGCAGTGCCACCAGTCAGTGCCCAGCAGTGATGCCAGTCAGTGCCGCCTATCAGTGCTGACTATCCGTGCCACCTATCTGTGCCACCTCATTAGTGCTGCCTATCAGAGCCGCCTATCAGTGCCCTTCAGTGCTGCCTATCAGTGCCCATCAGTGCCCATCAGAGCTGCCTATCAGTGCTCATCAGTACCGCCCATCAGTGCTGCCTCATCAACGCACATCAGTGAAGGAGAAAAATTACTTGTTTGCAAAATTTTATAATAAAAATAAAGAAACTTTTTTTTTTCAAATTTTTTGCACTTTTTTTATTTATAGCGCAAAAAGTAAAACACTCCTCAGCGGCAATTAAATACCATCAAAAGAAAGCTCTATTTATGACAAAAAAATTATAACAATTTTATATGGGTACAGTGTTGCATGACCGCTCAATTGTCATTCAAAGTGTGACAGCACTGAAAGCTGAAAATTGGCCTGGGCAGGAAGGGGGTAGGCAAGTGGTTAAGGGTCCTTTCACAGGATGCGGACCCATTTAGCGGATCCGCTTGCTCAGCGGGGGATCTCTCTGCTGATCCCCGCTGAGCAAGCGGATGACAGGTCTGTGTCTGCTCCGCTGCTGCAGAGCGGACACAGAGCTACTCGCTCTCCTCAATGGGCGGTTGGATGACACCATTGTTGGTCTCAGTGGAAGGAACAGTGCCCATCATTGGTGTCAGTGGAGGAATAGTACCCCATCATTGGTATCAGTGGGAGGAATAGTGCCCCATCATTGGTATCAGTTGGATGAATAGTGTTCCATCTTTCATATCAGTGGGAGGAATAATGCCCCATTGTTGATGTCAGTTGCAGGAATAGTGGCTCATCATTATTATTAGTAGGGGGAATAGTGCCCCATCATTGGTGTCAGTGGGAGGAATAGTGCCCCATCTTTGGTGTCAGTGAAGGAATAGTGTTCCATTTTTATATCAGTGGGAGGAGTTATGGCCCATTGTTGATGTCAGTGGAGGAATAGTGCCCCATCATTGGTGTCAGTGAAGGAATAATGTTCCATTTTTTATATCAGTGGGAGGAGTTATGTCCCATTGTTGATGTCAGTGGAAGGAATAGTGCCCATTGTTTGTGTCAGTGGGAGGAATAGTTCCCCATTGTTGGTGCCATTGGAAGGAATATTGCCCCATTGTTGGTGTAACTGGAAGGAATAGTGCCCCATTGTTGGTGGCCATGGAAGGAATAGTGCCCCATTGTTGGTGGCCATGGAAGAAATAATGCCCCATTGTTGGTGGCCATGGAAGAAATAATGCCCCATTGTTGGTGGCCATGGAAGAAATAGTGCCCCATTGTTGGTGGCCATGGAAGAAATATTGCCCCATTGTTGGTGTCCATGGAAGGAATATTGCCCCATTGTTGGTGTCCATGGAAGGAATATTGTCCCATTGTTGGTGGCCATGGAAGAAATAGTGCCCCATTGTTGGTGTCCATGGAAGGAATATTGCCCCCATTGTTGGTGCCCCATTGTTGGTGTCCATGGAAGGAATATTGCCCCATTGTTGGTGTCCATGGAAGGAATATTGCCCCATTGTTGGTGTCCATGGAAGGAATATTGCCCCATTGTTGGTGTCATGGAAGGAATATTGCCCCATTGTTGGTGTCCATGGAAGGAATATTGCCCCATTGTTGGTCGCCATGGAAGAAATAGTGCTTCATTGTTGATGTCATTGGAAAGAATGCCTCATTGTTGGTTTCAATAGAAGGAATGGTACCTCATTGTTGGTATCAGTAGGAGGAATGGTGACCCAAGGGCTGGATTAATGCAAACAAAGGGCCACAGTTTAAAGACCGCTGCTTTAAAGGGTTGTATACAGATTCTGTATATATTTTTTTTCTTTAATACAATTAGGACTTTAAAAAAAAAGGAAAAAAATGCTTTTAAATATATATATATAAAGTAAAGGAAACATTGTATATACGGTTTATGTTTTCTACAGGAAGTGGAGATCTTGGCTAATCTCAGTGCTCTCTCCTCCTTTCAAATTTAGAAAAAATGACTGACTATGAAATATCTCTAATATTTGTCCTTTACAGCCTCATTGCAGTGACCACATTTTTGTCCCAAACCCTGCGGTCCCTTCACTTCCCTGTCTACATTTGGAATAAGAAAGGAGGAGAAGAGAAGAAGTTTGCTCCAGTCTTTCGCATGTTGTCTGTAAGTCCCGAGTCCTTGTATCCCAGGTATTCATACACGGATGGCCGCAGTGCTTTGGTTTAGAGTTCTCTCTATTTATGGTCATTACAACAGATGTTCCTCTGCATTTCTTGTATCTGGATGGTGTGCGTGTTCTGGGTGCCGCATGAAAAGATCGAGTTTCCGAGTGAATTCCGCCTGGTACAGAACACATCTGGGTCCTTCAACATCAGAATGCACTTGGAGGAAAACTCTACAGAACCGGCCCCATGGTTTCAGTTCCCATCTCTAGGTATGAGTTTACAGAGTGAGGAAAGGTATGGTGAAGACCCATGAGCAGGGGAGGACTGACAACTCATGGGGCCCCCGGACAATAGGGGATCATGGGGCCGTGTCCTTGCCCAAACTCAAAAAAGCCTATGAAAAAGGTACCAGGGGCATCTCATGGGGCCCCCTACTGACCCCCGGGCCCTCGGGCAATGCCCGAGTTTCCATATGGTCAGTCCGCCCCTGCCCATGAGTAAAGGGCAGTCATTGGTTTCAGCAGGTTCTCATTTTTACAAACATATCTTTTTCCATAGGACATGGACATCCTTTAAAGCAGGGGTCTTCAAATTGTCTAAACTAAGGGCCAATTTACTGTCCTTTAAATTTTGTGGGCTGGACTGTGGTCAGTGGGACTAATCAGTTCTGGATTCACTGATTACTTTTTCTTACCTTCTGTCCATACAGGGGCCTGGGGATGGCCACGGCTCAGTCTGGAGACTCTCAGTGTGGGCATTGCCATGACCTTGACCTCCTGCCTGTCTTCCCTTGGGGTGTTACATCTTATGTGGCCGGATGCTGCGCTGCCCCCCTCTTCCGTTTCACTCCTGTAACCGTGGCATATGCATGGAGGGGGTGGGAAATATCCTCTCTGGAATGTTGGGTGGAGTGTGCGGTGCTGGATCGAACATCCCCAGTGCTGGCGTTACCGGAATCACCCAGGTACTCAAAGCTGCATGTGACGCAAGAAACCTAAAAACCCCACCCAGCTTTGTGGTTTTGTAAGGCAGGACAATAAATGAATCGACTACTTTTTAAATAATTTATTTTAGCCATATTACTGACACATAAAGTGGGCAAAATTGTAAAATTATTATTTGTTACTTTTCTGTGACTTCTTGCCATGGATGTACAATAGGAAATGCAATAGCAAGCCGTGTCTAGGAATGAATTGTGTAATTATAACTGTAGACTGCTGTGTATGAAAATCCAGGAGTGTGAGCATAACGTAAAGCAGTATTACACCGCAAAAAACAAAAAAGTTTATATTTTATTTATTTCAGGTACTTATATTGCGCCGTTAATTTACGCAGCGCTTTACATATATATTGTACATTCACATCAGTCCCCGCCCCCGAGGAGCGTACAATCTAAAGTACTATATTGCAACTTACCAATCATTAGATGTGGTGGCTGCATTCGTTTTCTCTTTTTAGGCTTCTTCTCTCTGTTTTCACCTGGTGATCTGGCCAGTAACACACCTCCTGTATTAGAGCGCCACCCACTCTGGATGAAGGAGCACAGGAGGCACAACGGACAGCAGCATTGTCAGTCTGGGTGGAGGGAAGTGTTAGATGTACTAGCAGATTGGGGATACACTAACAAACTGAAGCCAAATTCCAGCTCACACTTTATAAGTGGTTACAACAGTTTTTTTTTTTTGTTCTTCTGGGATAAAGGTTTTACACAAATAAAAGCTGATCATTGTAAGCACCCCTGTCAGTAGTAAATAGTTTGTCTCAATCCTCTAACTACTACATCTGCAGAACATATTGTTCTGTTGATATACAACAGCTTTACTGACCTGTTTACCAGGTGAAAAAAGAAATCTATAAAAAGAAAAAAACTAATGCAGTCACTCCATTTGGTGAGATGCATTATAATAAACATTTGCTTTTGGGTTTAATACTGCTTTAGAGCAGACCCATCTGATGTGCTAGGTGTCATATCCCATCTGATGTGCTAGGTATCATACCCCATCTGATGTGCTAGGTGTCATATCCCAACTGATGTGCTAGGTGTCATATCCCAACTGATGTGCTAGGTGTCATATCCCATCTGATGTGCTAGGTGTCATATCCCATCTGATGTGCTAGGTGTCATATCCCATCTGATGTGCTAGGTGTCATATCCCAACTGATGTGCTAGGTATCATATCCCATCTGATGTGCTAGGTGTCATATCCCATCTGATGTGCTAGGTGTCATATCCCATCTGATGTGCTAGGTATCATATCCCATCTGATGTGCTAGGTGTCATATCCCAATTGATGTGCTAGGTGTCATATCCCAACTGATGTGCTAGGTGTCATATCCCAACTGATGTGCTAGGTGTCATATCCCAACTGATGTGCTAGGTGTCATATCCCAACTGATGTGCTAGGTGTCATATCATCTGATGTGCTAGGTATCATATTTTCATCTGATGTGCTAGGTGTCATATCCCATCTGATGTGCTAGGTGTCATATCCCAACTGATGTGCTAGGTATCATATCCCATCTGCTGTGCTAGGTATCATATCCCATCTGCTGTGCTAGGTGTCATATCCCATCTGATGTGCTAGGTATCATATCCCATCTGATGTGCTAGGTGTCATATCCCAATTGATGTGCTAGGTGTCATAT